CTGCAGGTGCCTCGAAGGCTTCAGTCAGACTGTTTGACAAGTCACAAACGCAATAACACTTGAATGAACTTCTTGCTTGTGCTGTTTATCTGTCTCCCCCCTTTCGAACTCCCACTCCACCTCTAATTTGTGTTAAGGGGAAAGAAAAAAAAATAACTGCTCAATGGTGTAGGAGGAGTGGAGATAAGCTCGAAGCAGTTAAGTATAATTAGCGAAAGTAATAGCTGGCAAATGGCAACAAGGCTAGGTTTTTATCTCCTGGAAAGATAGAGTTATCGTAATAAGCTGTAATGGCTGGCAGGAATGCTAGTACTCTGTGCAGGCTACCATTCAGGCTCATAGACTTAACAAGGAACAATTTCCCTTGAATTTACTGCTTTGCTCAAACATTTCCCYATGTTTATACTCTGATACTGTAAGTCAATACACGTGTTCAATCCACTTTCATACAGACTAAAGGCACACAGAGCTGTATTGCCATGTAAGCACTTCTGGCTGCCAGCATTGGCCATGTTAAACTGTTTCCTCAGAGTGGTTACTCATGTCCTATTTCTAGAGAACATGGAGAAGGAGCAGCAGACCACACTCATATGCCATGTAAAAGCGATTCACCCTACGTTTTAGGTAAAGTGGCAGGACTGAGGCCGCTGAAGGAGCGCTCACAGAAAATGTGTTAGCTGCATGAAAGCGCTGCAGATTRAGGCGTCAGATCAAAATRCGATTGGGAAGTGCACATTCCAGGCAGAGGAATTCAGCTGAAGGCCCGCCATGGATGCTTGTGCGCATGTGTGTTATTAAAAAAAAAAGAAGGAAATGATACGGTCACAGCTGCACACCGAGTCATGCATTCCACTTCTTCATATGCTGAAACACGATCATTCACTCTCTAGAGAGAATTACTAAAATATTCATAAAAAATGTTCTTTCAAACCTTCACGGAGGAGAAGCGGGATCCTTCGCAGGTCCATGCTTCTGCCACTTATCATGTTAATTTCGCTCACATGTGGCAATAATTCTTTTAGTTATTAGCTTTTAAATTTGAAACATATTCGCTGTCACATTGTGTTAGAAAAATTTCCATCATCCCGGAAATTAAAACACGGAGGATCTCTAACCCAGGCAGGAAAAAGAGACATAAGCAATATAATTGAACAAAACACGCAACTTGTCTAAATCTAAGCAGAAAATGAGAGAAAATGAAAATTCTATTAGTGTCTAATGTTCCCTCTGCCCCCGCACCCATGTGCTCTTCATCTCTCCAGCAAAGTATTCAAATGCAAGCCCTGCCTTACCTCCCCGTGTCTCTTTTTCTCTAATTATCCATGAGGTCAGTAAGCAAAATGGGGAAGAAGCCAGGAGATCAATACAAATTATCCCTGAGCAAACCAGTGCTGACAGTTTGAATTGCAGCATATGTTTACCCAAAATCAGGCAATTTATCTTAATATCAGGCGAGTAATGCAGCAGGGGTGAGAGGTCACACAATCTCTCCACCTCATAATTACCCGCCTCTAAAACAGGAAAGTGGTATTGATTGGCTGCGGGCCGGGAAGCGGGCGTGACTGGAACGTGCCAGTGACCCCCACCCACCCCCCCTCCCGCTATCAAACCTCCCCTAGCAGTCTCTGTCCCTCCTCCTCCTCCTCTCCTAGACTCCCTACCCTGTGCAGGATTTATGGGATGTGTGTGGAGGGTTTCATGTTTCCTTGAAGTGACTGAGAAGCCTTTCAGAAAGGGTAAAGCTGGGCAGAGAGGAGTGTGTGTGTGTGTGTGTGTGCGTGTGCGTGTGCGTGTGGAGTGGGTTCGGGAGAGTGGTGGTGGGGGTGTTCTTTCACAACATTCTGTTGGAAGGTCAAAGAGGACCAAACACATTTTTGGATTCATCACAGAGCTAGATTTGGTCCTCAAAAGAGAGTTATGTTTATGAGTATGAAGTTAGAACATAACCATGTGTCAAGGATTAAAAAGAAAGACATTTAGGTGAAGACAGTAAGAGTGTGAAAAAGGCTCAATGTGTGCGCATYAGGAAAACGTAAGAAGTGTCATCCCAATGTACAGAGCCCGCGAGAGGATATGGGGGGATTTTTTTCTTTTGTGTTCCCATGCAATACTATTGCGTTACCCCCCAATACTTTTGCGTTACATCGCAAAATTGTTTTGCGTTCCCACGCAAAAGATTGTTTTGTATATGAACTGAATCAAATCAGACTTTTATTTTGAAAGATCCAGTTACTAAAACAGGATGTGTCGCCACAAGTTCGTGAAATTGACATTGATGTTGCGTGGCTGCACTGTGTTAAAATTTCAGCATATGACATACTTCCATGTGTGGTTGAGTAATATATTCATTCTGAAGCTGAATTGAAGCAGTAGACTAACTCGCTAATKGTGAACACGTGAATGTGTTAATAAACCGGGAGGCACAACAGTGATAAACTACTTTTGCGAAGGAAAAAAATCTCCCGTGTCCCCTCGCGGGCTCCGTACCAATGATTCTTGGAAAAGCTCAGCAGATGAAAGAAAATCTTTGCGTGGAAGAAAAAAAATGCACGGAGCAGTGCAGTGACTGCACATTTATTGTCTAGATTGAATATAAGTGCTAAGTATATATCATCAGCAGCTCTTACAGGATTATTGACATTGTCTGTGTCTGTCTGCACCAGTGTACATGCTATGACTACAAAACTGTCAACTCATCAACTGACAGCACCGTTTAGCGCTAATGCAAGTCTCCATCAGCTGTCAAAAGCATTTGCATGAAATCAATAGCAGATGGCAGTCTGTGTCACCAATTTCATTACGCCAGGGTTGTTACAAAGATCATCTCCATGATAGATGAGATGGCGACATGTGGAGATCATGCCTGACGCTTGAACTAGGACTGCCCAATGCTGGACCGCGTTTTTAACATAACAGGAAACAGTTAAAAAAGAAAACATTTTTTTAATTTGACAGTTTCAATTCCTACAGATCAAAGCAGAGATTACTGATAACATGAATTCAGTTCAAACTGTGCTTTTAGGCCTGAGCCTTCCTGAAAACATTCATCACAATTCTTAGGCTGGCATTTACAGTAGGGCATCATTATCAATGGGAAGGCATGTCAAACAGTGCACCTCTCCCAACCTATGTCTCGTCCCATACTGTACGTCTGTCCGGCTGTGTTCCCAGCATGCCTGGCGGGTTGTGTAGGCCCCAGCTGAGGCAGAGGACAGGAGAGCGTGATGTATCACCCTGAGAGAGCCCACTGACAGCCTCTGATGATGGATGGCCTGATTATGGAGTGCTTTTTACACATACACAATTTACATCACACTGAGCAGCGGGGTCTGGCAGGGCTGTCGTGCACATACACTTTTTCCAGCAGGGCAAAGGCACTCACACACTTCTGTGTGTATGTGTGTGTACACGTCTACACATGTACAAGACTGCCAGAGTGCATAAGATAAGAGAAGGGGGTGGGGGGTAGAAATAACAAAAGAAAAGGGGGCAAATTCCTCGCTACAGTCTTGTCATGTACGATCAATACTGCAGATCAATCCTTTATTAAGGAGGAGATGACTTTCCCCCCACATTCCGAAGCAGACCTTTGTCGTTCCAGGACACATGATGACATGTCAAATCAGATTTCCAGCAGTGTATGTATTTGTGGCATGGGGTTTATTCAGGTGTGTCTAGACTATAGGGGTTGAATATCACTATATTTGTAAGCTGGATCATTACTATCGATTAGCGCCCCACATTGTCCATGCTTGAACACATAATTGCTCCGTTTGATCATGGTCGAGCTGGCAATTACTGTATTCAGGTTTTGGCACAACTGGTGCATGAGCTCTGCTATAAGTACGAGTGTGAATAAAGTTCAATATTTGTGTGAGTTATGTTTATAGAGTGCACAACCACTTAGGTGAGAGGGGAAAAGAGAAATATTAAGAAATAACACCTTTTCTTTCTCCACTGGCTTTTGCCTTTGTGGCTCTGTGTGTGTGTGTGAGATTGTCAAGGGGGGGTTGCATTAGTTTGTTTCCACATTCTCTGGTGTTCAGCAGGTTCAGCGAGCTGTGTGGTGTTAATGCTGAAATTACATGCTGAGTAATGAGTGATGGGCCAAATTACAGGCTGAACAATGAATAGAGGCAGGCAGCTCTTATTAGTCTCCATAGAAAGCCATTGATTTATGAAGCGCCTTGCTCGGCGGAGTTACTCTCCTGAAAATGATATCTACATTGAGAAGTGATGTTCTCTATTAAGTCGTTCCTTCCCCTTTTACTCTGCTCTCCTCCCTTCCTGCCCCTCCTCCCCTCTGCCCGGCCTCCCCTCATCCTCTATGAGAGTACACATGATTGTTTAGAATCAGGCGGAGCTGTAAGGAAACCTTCAATTACCCATTAGGACTGTCAGACATAAAACGCCCTGCTCTCACCAAAGTCTGGGTTATGATTCATTTACTTTGTGCCTCTGATTCATCGCCCAATATGCCTCATGCCCCAGATTACTATTTGAGGGGTGGGAGAGATTAATGGCTCCATGGGATCTGCTGCCGTATTTCACAGGCCCAGTGTTGCAGTACAGTTGGTGCAGAAGGGTGAAATGACAGCAACTTACACTAGATCAATGTGTGGACAGACTTTCACAGATTATTAAAGCTCTGTTAGATTAAAAGACCCCCTCTATGTAGTTTGCTGTAGTCAATATTCTCAAGAAGATAAAAAGGGGGAGGGTCCCTCTGAAGGATTCTCAGAGTGATGTAGGTCATCATGGATGTTAATGACAAGTGTCAGAGGAGTGTGTGCCATTTTCTATTGCTTATTCTCTCCTCAGAGCTGCTGCTAATGTTTCATAAAACATAGTATCACCCTTGAGGTTTCTTGGAAATTAGGCATTATGAAATGACTTTTGTTCTGTAAACTCTAACAGATTCCTCAATTAGTTTCTTTATATCTCTTGCAAAATTAGTCCTGGAATGGCCCTCATTTTCAACTTCCCATTTTATCTTTCAGCCCTGAATGAGCCCACTATCGACTACGGTTTCCAGAGGCTGCAGAAGGTCATCCCCAGACACCCTGGCGATCCTGAGAGGTTACCAAAGGTCAGTTCAGTGTCTGTGCTGTGCAGAAAAAAAACCTCAAAATGGTAATGACACAAAGCTGCTTGGCTTTTAATGTCTTTATACTCTGAATGTGACAAATAAACAAAACAACATCACCATCAATGTAGAGAACTGTGACCCTAAGCGCTAACAGCTTTGCTTCACATATGTGGCTTTACCCACCAACCAGTGCGGTAATGGTATTGGTTTTGTGTGTGGAGAGAGGCGTAAACTCTCTGTGTGGTAAAATAGCTCAATCAGGCGTTTTCCTCTCCAGTAGTCTGTGGAGATGGTAATCTGGTCAGAAACGACGCCTGCACCCTCATTACCCCACTCATGTTTTCCTTTCATTTTCTGCGGCTCGATTTGGTTTAATCTTTTGTTTACAGAACCCTGTGCCGTAAACCCTCTAGTCTTACTGCAGCTAATAGACAAAGACTGCATGTTATTATGCTTTGGCTTTCTTATTGTTGTTGTTGTTTTTTCTTCTTCTTCCTTTTTTCAACTTGGGTTTAAAGCCACATCAGCTTTTAGACACACTGGCATCATTAAAAAGACTGGTATAGTGATAAAACAGCATAAGGTGCATATATTTCTTTGTTTTTAAATCCCCCTCTCATACATTTTTTATTCTTTTAWTCCTTTGTTTTCTTTTGATTCTCACACTCTTTCCATTTCCTACTGATACAATCTGTCTGTGTGCTTTCACTAATTGCCACCCTGCCAGTAACCATTTTGATGACCGACGTTCCAGATGTGTCAAAAGTAATAATATGACTGATTAGTCAATTCAAAACCCCTTGGCATGTAGTAAAGTGGAGGCCACCTCAGAGTTTTAATAATACTGTAAAACCTTTAAAGACCTTATCTATTAAATCTCAGCAAGCAACACAGCAATATTATTAATGTCCAACGGACAATTTAATAAAGAACAGACTGTGTGCCGGCTATAGATGTTTGACCAAGGCAATGTGGAGAGATAGAAGATCACAGCTAGTCGTTGGTTTGGTATATGAAGTGTTTCAATTAGACCCAGTCCCTGTGGAGAGAAGAAGCTACACCTAGACATGAAATGTTACTCTAATATCACGTGTAAACGTTGACTAGAAGCCGAAAGTACACTTTACCTTTAATATCCACATGACTTGCTCTATCTCTGCTGGCGTGACCGGTCAATCTAACTACACTGCCTTAGTTTTCAAAAGTCGCACAATTTTATTTTATTTTTTATGAAATCCACATCTTTCCAGCAAACAGAGATATAATGTTAACATGGTTTTATTACAAAGAAAGCCCACTTCTTTCCTTGAATATAAAGCGCTGTTGATTGTGAGACACATTTCGACACTGAGSCTGGGATTAGTTTCCTGGGCGAGCGTATACTTAATATAGCACGGTCTCCCAGCCTTTGCATGAAACAATCACAGAGTGAGATGAAACCCTGCACTTCCAATAAACAACATAAATATTTGATTTGCTCTCTAATGGACCCAAATATGGGGTTCAGGGGGCATGTAAATGATCCCACCAAGTGATTCGTCATTGTTAAGCTTGCCATCTGAGGGTCAGCTCTCGGGGTCAAAAGCACATTCCCAATAAAACAGCCTGCGGCGGGCTGAGGCTGGCATGTACATTTGGAATGAGAACAGAAACAGCATATAGAGAACAGCCATTACAGGGTGCAGGTGAGGCAGGGAGACTCTATAAAAAGAAGATAAAGCTGGAGGACGTGCGGTGTGCATTAGCAGAAAGGCAAATCGACACCAAGCCCACTCACCGCCTCTATCCCCCCCTCCCTCCCATGACTTCACCCTCCAGTTGATAATATTACTGCACTATTGATTTCCACCAGCCTTCTCCCTGGGACCAGTAAGACACGTGGTAATTGTAAGGAGACAGAAAGCCAATATGGGAGTGCTCATGGATAGCAAGGGATGCACGCTAATATTGTTGCTACACAGAGAAAAAAAAGGGGGGAAGCTGCCCCTGATTGAAGTTTACCTCGTAATTCTAAGACAACATCGTAGATGACAGTCTGACCCTGTGGGAGGAGTGGAGATATAAAAATTCAATGCAAAGTCCAGGGTGAATATGAAAGTAATAAGTGTGAGCAGTCAAGTGATGAGAAAGGAGATTGGTTTGCGGGCATTGCGTTAAGTGAAGAGAGACTTTGGAATTCACCCTCCTTTTTAAGATCTTGTTATAAAACAATTTTCTATTCATAATATAAAAAAGACAATTTATAATACCATTTTGTGCCCTCTGGCAGTAATGGACAAATAGACTGGATATCACATTATATCACACTCAATTTCTCTCTTCTGTAACAAATTAGATTCATTATGAAATTAAAAGTGGAAACTCAATATTGTTTTATTATTAAGCTGATTGCTTTGGATTCTTTTCTTTCCCCCCAAAATGAGCAGAAGCCCATTCTTTTCCAATTCCTTGTGTAATCCACAAGGAAAAAAATATTACAAATGTGTTCATGTCAAGCAATTACCCATGTATTTAAATGAATCTCTCTTCCTGTGCTCTTTGAAGTACCTTCATCTAATGGCCCTATGCTTCTAAATGCATTCATTACCTCAGGCTAGAGCTAACAGAGTAATTGCCTTACAGTTTTATAATGGCATTAGCACTCCAAGCTACATAACCTAGGCCCTCTTTTATTAACTGTGATAATATAAATACAACATCCATGTTAATCTACTGCTTGAAGACTCGTATTTGGATTTGGGATATTTAGATTTTTTTTTATAACACATCATTTAGTAATTCTTCCTCAGCTTTAGTTTTTTTCTCTGCAATAATATAAAGCAGCTTCTAAATCCTAGGTGATCAGTCATCTAAGCAGTCCCGTTCAGACATTTGTGCAGCGCAAGACCTTTATGCAAAGCGTCGCAAACAATAGTAGAAATCAGTCACGCATTTGTCACAAAACAGCAGAAATCATTTGAAGCCTTTAATTGTATCAATTTAACATGGTGTGTTCAGATATGTCTCCATGACAAGAAAGCCAATTACACTTATGCTGGAGCAGGATTGAGATTTACATGGAAATGCCCTCGGAACACTATTCCGTGCTAATCGTATTCACAGCGTGAGCTGATGCACATGGAAGCGTCTCGTCAGAAGAAAACAAACTTCTTCCTTGATTGGGTGCAGCACTTCTCATCATCCTCGGATATGACTAGGTTGCCACTTAAGCATAGCCCTGCGAGTCAGCTCGGTTAGTTAAGACACCACGCGGTAAACGACAGATTAAGGATGAGAGGCAATATCGTTTTCTCTCCTCCTTTTTTCCAAGCTGTCCTGATGTCACTGCTGCAAAGTACCATATGGACAAGGAGGGAGAGGACGTTTTACAGAGAATGAAACATGGCTTGTGAACGCGACAGTCTTAATTGCTTTAATTGTTGTTTAAAATTGAGAGCCATGTAGGGGATCTTGAAATATGATAGAATAGATTATTGGTAATTATTAACTGCAGACAAAAAGAAAGAAAACCACTTTATCTCACTCAGCAAGTGAGAGAGAAATCTGTTCTGCCTGATGAGAACACATCAAGACAGCTGGTCCTCTCATTTAGTCTACCTGCTTCACGACAACCATAATTCTTTATTTGTATGCAAACTAGATGCATGCAACGTTGAGCATACACACCAATTTCAGAGGTAAATGCCCATTCTAAGAGCCACCCATCCGGTAACTTGGGGTGGATTAAGCGATATGTTTCTATAAGAGTGCATGGCATACGCTGCAAGTGGCTTCTACAGCGATTCATCTTGATAAATCAAGGGTTGTGCTAGATATGCTCCTYAGGATGAAAGGGCCTGTACACACCCTCCGTACACACTGCATACGCTGTGCCTTGGAGATGCAGGCCAAGTCTTGGAGGCCGCTGTTTGAAGGCGCGAAGGCTGTGTTTACATTCATTTATGGCAGCTGCCGTCTTAATCCCACACTGCTACTGCCAAGTGATGGAACACTTCAGACAAATTACCAAGGCCTGCAAAAGAAAACACAGTGAATGTGGGAAGAAAACAAACACCATCTGAGATGTTTCGAGTGACAGATTTGCATTGCTTTTAACCAGAGTTCTAACAGCACAGTTGACAAATCTCTGCTCTCCAGCAGGTGACAACAAGAGAGCATTTTAAAAAACACACACAACAGCCATGTCTGCAACTTGCCTTTGTCAGATTAAATGCACTCTAAGAGGAGGAGAAGGGTTTTCATAGAGCATACTGCCTTGTGTGTTATGGAAAACAAAGAGAGCAGTCTGGTTTCTTGAGAGGGATTTAATTGTAAGTGCTGTATTCAAAGAGCAGATAAAAACACACAAATGGGCCAAACCCCACCTAGTCGAAAGCCCAAAACAGAGTGGGGGGAACAGGATCTGGGGCCAACTCATTTTCACTGTTAAGAGCCAAAGCAACACAGCTAATCCGCATTGTCAAATGGGGGCAAGCATGCAGACATGGATAAGACCACATCCTGAGCATCCGTGTCCCCAAGGCACAAGCACCCAGCTCTTGCTGGATGGGAAGTCATTTGTGAAGTCCTTTGCAACAGCCAGTCAAAGAGGTTAATTGAAAAATTCCTTAATGTCATTACAACAGAACTAGATTAACCCAGAGCTAATTCACTTTATTGTTCTGAAGAGAGGGGACTCGGCACTGAACTCCRGAGCAAACGTGAAGCCCAGAATCATGGGTGAGGTGTTGTTTTTAAAGGACTATGCCAGTTTAATTAAGATAGGGAACATTATTCACTGCTCTGCATGGTTGGAAGGAGCAAAATGGTAGTGCTGTATAAATGCACCTCTGGAGCCTCTTAAATCAAGGTGGCTTTTATTTATGTAAACATTTCTGAAAGTGCTTTGCAACCTTGTCCTGCAAGTCTGCCTGTGTTTTTTTTTTTGGTTTGTTTTGTTTCTGTGTAAAGTGCCTGACTAAATAAATGAATAAAGGAATAATCCAAGTCGCTAAAATTTTCTTGGTCCATCTTTAGCCTGGATTAAACGTCACGATTAAAGTGCCATAAATTTATGAATGAATTTATACTATTGTATCAGTAAGCTTATATTATTCAGTGCCACAATATTCATTTTCATCTAGCTTTGCATTAGTCCTTTAGCCTAGATCTTGATTTGATTGAACAACTGGACTTGCTCAAAGTATTATCCACATTACAAAAGTTCTCAGTAGCACTAAGGTTTGACATCAGCGGTAAATCCAAATGTAAAAATCACACCTGAAACTTCCTGGACCACTCTTTCAAAAATTAGATTTAGTCTCSTCATTCTAAGCAACATGGCTCTTTAAAGACGTGCTTGTTTACTGAACAAGAGGCTGCTTTTTGCATCAGTTATGGTTTAAATAACTCATCTGAAACATTTTAATCCTGCAGTGCATTTCCTGTGACATAGACTTAGCTATCTGTTTAAACATCCAGGTGGTCAGTTTTTTCTAAGGTGGGCAGTGGTTTTAGACAAATATCTGTTTGAGCTTCATGCTCACTCTGTTTTTCTCTTCAGGAGGTGTTACTGAAGAGGGCGGCCGATCTTGTTGAAGCCCTGTATGGAATGCCCCATAATAATCAGGTTTGTACCTCACAACTGTTTTCAGTATGTTTGTCTCTTTAAATCCCAAATCATTTTTAGATAGCATAAACAAAAGGTAAATTTGCTGCCTTTTCCTGGAATAATATTGTAGTGCAAATTTTTTTTTTCTTAGAGACATAAAACATGCATGCAATGAGAATCATCTGTTAAGAGAAGTGGAAATAATAAACTCTCTGCTTTCTTTTCACCTCTCAGGAGATCATTCTGAAGAGGGCAGCCGACATCGCAGAGGCCCTGTACAGCGTTCCCCGCAACCACAACCAAATCCCGTCTCTCGCTAACACAGCCTCCCACGGCATGATGGGAGTCAACTCCTTCAGCAGCCAACTAGCAGTCAATGTGTCTGAGTCACAAGGGAACGACCAAGGTGTGTGAATTCAAGGATTTCATAAATTAGAGATTCCTAAAAGTGGGGGTGCAACAGGATTGCAGTTGCTCCTTGGAGGAATGCCAGGTGGTTTGCAGTGACACATACCTCTTTTTTTGTACTGAATAAATTAATAGAACACGTTCTTAAATAATTATAGCATTAAGCAATCTTGCTTATAAAAGCAACACCTAAAGTAGGTCTAGGTGTAAAAATATTTGAAATACCTTCCTATTGTCATTAACTTTAATCATTAGCTAATTTCTCCAAGAAATACTAAGAAAAGAACTGAATGAATGTCCATCTTCCACCTGTGTTATTCAGTGGGCTACAGCCGGAACACCAGCAGTGTGTCCCCTCGGGGCTACATCTCCAGCAGCACCCCACAGCAGTCGAGCTACAACACAGTCAGCAACAGCATGAATGGCTACGGCAACGCCGGTATGAACCTGGGAGTGCCAAGCTCCCCTGGGTTCCTCAACGGATCCTCTGCCAACTCCCCATATGGAAGTGAGTAGCTTGCCACTCTTGCACGCTGTCGTGGCGCTAAGCTGCTGCTGATTTAATTCCAGCCCGCACATTCGTTTTCACTTCTATGAATTATTCCTGACAAGGTTGGATTATTATTGACGGTAAAAATACAGTGCGGTTCATTCGCGGGACCTTGTTTAGTTTAAGTACTTCAGAGAACACACGTGTGTGTGTGTGGCTCAGACCTGCAGAAATATTAGGTGTATTTGACTATTTGCCACCTGTGTTTGTTCAACCGGACAAGACGTTGATCGTAGAGGCCTGTGAGTAACTGATCATGTGTCCTCTCGGCAGTAACTCTATCCCAACCTTACCTTAACTGCCCTCTCCCTCCCGAGCACCACTCACAGCACGTTCTCACTCTCGCCCTGCCTCTTTCCCCTTGCCCTCCCTGTCGTCTCTGCAGTTAAACAAAAGAGCGCCTTCGCCCCTGTGGTCCGACCCCAGGCCTCCCCACCCCCCTCCTGCACCAGCGCCAACGGCAACGGACTGCAAGGTGAGCCCCCCTCACCCCCTCATCCTTTCCCTACGGACTACTGGTCAGATACCGCTGCTCAGGCCTCTGTCCGGTTTGGTGAGGGATTAATCATTACAAATATATGCATTTTGACAGGCCAATTTACACCTTTCAGTTTGCATTCAAACACACACACACACACTTCCATAAAGCATGCTCTCTCTCTCTCTCTCTCTCTCTCTCTCTCTCTCTCTCACACACACACGCACACACACACACGCACACACACGCAC